CTTGATTGATTAAAATTTATATGGCTGCCCAACTCAGTTTCAGTGACTCTGGATGGCCTACGAAGATAAAAACTCAATATAAAAATAAAAAGCTATACCTTCCCTGCTCCCGCAATATCAATCATTTACTGTACAAGAGAACCCTAGCACTACAGGCCTTTTCTGCGGTTCAAGTGCTCTCTCTTAGACTTTGCCTTGAATCGAAAGCAGCAGCTGACACCTTGATCCTGATGCTGTTGCCCTTCAGTCCGGTGAGGTTAGCTTGCATCACTGAGCAGATCTGCAAGAACATGCCCACTGATGGGGCATGGATGGAAGCCATCCAGTGTACGGCCCAAGACCGCCAGCCAACTGTAGAGCAACAAATCCATCTGCAGAACAAAGCTTGTACATAAGCTCTGGAGAAAAAAGGCTGCTTCCACCATGCTATCTGGGCTCTGGAGGAACCAGAGATGAACCTACTGGTTGTCAGTCTTCAACACTCCCAGCAGAATCAACTAGGCATAGCCGAATTCCTACTTCAGACATCCTGACCTGGCACCAGCCTTTACTAACAACCTAATTCGACCTCTTTCTGATGGCCCAACTCAGCATCTGGCCTGCCCTTGGGTGGCGTTTTTGCTGGAGAAAGAGAATCCATTGATTCCAGGCAATTAGCAGCCTATCTTGATTGCATCTATCATCCCTGGCATCCTCCATAAGATCCTGCCTAGGTGACTCTGTGATACACTCATACTCTCCTCCTTAAAGCAGCTTTCTTGAGGTGACAACTTTGTTCCACTCCATCTTCCAAAGGGCCCACATCAGTTGAGTGCTTTCTATCATGCTCTTCCCAGAGGCTGCCAAGGTCTTTGATACTGTTTCCCAGCAGATGCTTCCTTGGGATACTTCCAGTCCAACATCAAAGATGGAGGTTTGGGAGTTCCATGCTTCTCCATCCCACATCTCCAAAAGGACTGGCTTGGGAAGCTTGCATCAAATCCCACTGCACTGTTTGACACTCTTCAATGACAAGATGCCTTTCTCTCCCTGGGGTCTCACAGCTCATCAGACTGTGTAATCTGAATTCCTAGTTGTAACCTCCAAAGCAGAAGTGTGGTCTGAGTGGAAGAATCTACTCTTGCAATCCATCAACAACTGGGAGCTGAGTATCCCAAACATCAACGTAGTCACAAGTGGCTGTTGTGCTCATCTTGGGTATTTCCTCAACTGTACCTGTTGTACCTGCTGTACCTGCATCCAATTGAGATGTGGCCTACTCCCCACCAAATCACTTCCTTTAAGTAACCATGAAGTGCTGCAAAAATGTATGCCATGACCTCAAAATGTTCAACTAGCATGAAGTCATCCAGTCATGTTCTTCAACACTTGAACAACCTCTGAGCTGAGATAGTGTCTGCTCCTGGGTCAAGCCCATCTTTCCATCCAGTTCATCGTTCATCAAGCCAGACCTGGTTCTGGAAAGGATATATCAACTGTGGATCCTTGACATTTGCATGCTACTGTTGGCTACTGAATGAAAGAGTCCTGGGACTTTAAGATTGCAAAATATAGACATCTCAGTTGTGTGGCAGATCTTCTTTGCTGGCCTATTTCTTCGGTTCCAGTTCACCATCTACCCATCATCATTTCCAAATGGGGACCGCTCTACAATCCATTGGTTAATGGGCTCCATGCTTTGGGTTGGAACTGCCAGGATACTATGGGCCTTTGCTTACTTACTATGAGTGGCTCACCCAGATGTTATGATTTGTATGCCTGTGGAACCACTACTGGCTGTTCCTGGACTGTCTGAACAAAGCTGCCAAGTCCCTTTGATATTCCAGCAACATAAGCCTTGCATCCCTCAGTTTAAACATAAACCAGGGGTCCTGCACATACAGTATTGTGTTGGGCTCAAGATTTCTTCATGCAGAGTATTTCCCATTTTTATGTCCTAAGCTAAAACAGTTGTTTTCAGTTAATGATTTCCTATGCTATGCATACTTTCTAAAAGAACTCAGTCCGGACTGGACTTATTTCAAAAAAGTAGCATAATTTTGCAACCCTAGCCTGCTATCTCTGACATCAAAAATCAGAATGAATTTGATAGAACTTTTTCAGGCTAACATATTTTATTAAAATTGGCAAATGGGCATAGCTGAGAATTGCAATGGTAGTGTGAGGACACAAAGTAGAAGGGAAAGATCACACAGAGGGGCAGGGACAGGAAATCCAAGGTTTCAAATGTTTAGAAGGGAGTTTGATCAGTTCAGCTCTTCTAAGCATATGCAGTACATTTCTACAATGTTTCTACCTTCAAATGATAGGCTGTGCTTTGGATTTTGAACATAAGAGCTGCAAAAAGCTTAGCTTCTGCACATAACCTTATAACAACAACACTTTCCCCATTGCTCTTATATTCAGTTACTTAGGAGTAAGTTCCATTTAACTCAACCTTATGTTTGAAAAGAAATGTAATGTCCTGTTAGGTGGAATCAGATCATGCATTCTTAAACTAAACCCCATTTAGCCTGAGCTTTAGTAATTATGCCTGGAATTGATGAAGAAATGCAGTTCAACCACTTTTGAAGACCACTTTCCTGTTTTTGATTTATGAAGTTGCTGCCTATTGGCTATTTCCTCGTACTACTAAATAGTAACCCAGTCAGATATAATGCCTTCCTTCTTGATCAGACAGCCACAATCATCTAATGACTGCAGGATATTTTTGTAGCCCTAATTTATACCCCTATCAGCCCAGTTAAGCAAACCCTCAAACTCTGCCTTACTTCCTCCCCTTTCAAATTTGTGCTTGTTGCAATGAGCATAAATTGCCACTTGGTGTCAGTGAATCTAAGCACTTTGCTCAGAGATGGTCCAATAGAGAAATGTCCAGCTACTTCTAGTATTTCATTTTGGAAGAGGCTGAACCATCATGATGAATGACACATGTCTGGTTTAGATATCCTAGCTGCCTCCCACCCACCTACCCATACACAGTGTTTGTGGGCATTCTTATTCTTTCTTCCCTTTTATTATTAAACTTACTTGGTAGAGGTAAGAAAATACGCTTTTTTTCTTCCTGCGTTTTAATTTTCTTGTAACCTTTAAAATCAGTATTATGCCTTCTTGCCTAGATGCCCTGATGATGACAATTCTAAGGACAATTAGCCATCAATTCTGGATGGAAAGGGGGCAATATCTTAATTATTATTTTATTTATTCAATGATATCTGAACTTTCTATTCAGGAAAAGGCCTCTCAGCATTTTGGACTGCTTTAGAATTATAATCATAAAAATTATATATATATAGAATCATTTACATAATAAATGCATATTTCATATCTTCAGTCAATACACATTCCTTAAGTCTGGAGCAGGCTGATCTTAGTGCAAAGATTCCAGTGGAGACCAGTGAGAAGAGAGGATAAGTAAATAATAAACAAGTTTATTATTTATTTATTATGATTTTTATATGAATCTGGGCAGCTTACAACAACTAATGCTTGACAAGCACAAAACGTAAACACAAGCCTAATAATATCCTAAGTGCCCATTTGCAGGCAGAGATCACGGAAAACAGAAGATACTCGGTGCTCATGTTAGCCAGTCCACTTGCTATAAAATTCAATTTCTACAATACTGAGGTATTTCCCTTAGATTGATGCCCTCTAAGTCCTTTTTTTTCCTGGCCTCCTGAGATCTCTCTGAACACGATACTTACATGATTTGAAGATGATAACCAAATGATAAATGCCATTTATCCTGCCATTTTGTGATGGAAAAGATTGGCCAATATCCTGGAATCTGTAGATGGTCTGGCCAACATAGTCCATAGGATAGGAAACACTGAAACATTATTTAAAATAGGCATATTATAGAAATCATTCTCTAACTCTCCCCTAAATCTCTGTCCTGTTTTCTGCTGGTGTAATATGGTCCTGACCTGTTTTATGATCCAGACATGATTTAAACCCTTAAGTGTGGCCTCTAGGAAAGGTGGCCACCCCTAACCTACAGGGTGCCCTCCAATATGTTAGGGTTACTCCCAGGATCCTCAACTGAGGAGATCAATTGGCAAGTGCTTGCTAGGAATTCCGAATGAGGATGTATTTGTAATGCCAGGAAGGTACTAAGGAGGAAGCTACTTAAGCTAAGTTTGAAGTCCTCCCCCCCCCCCCCCGCCAGAAGTGTGGTGAAGCAGTTGCCTGAATCTGTGCAGAATAAACATTTACTTTTCCGCTGATTTTGTAGCTGGCAATCAAGATCACTTAAGCCCAGTTTCTGCAAAGCATATGGACCCTTTTTATAAAAGGCTACTGAAAACCCAAGTAACGCCTTTCAGACGAGAAAACGAAGATAAGGGGGAGAAGTATACAACACTTCCCACGCTGCAGTTTAATGGGGAGGTGGCCAGCTCCACAGCTAGACTCTAAAAACAAAGCTGCCCCCCCCCCCACCCGGTAAGGTATTCTTTTCTCCCTTTCCTCCACGGAAAACGATGCAATTTGCCCGAGTGATCAGGCGGTCCGACTCCGTGAGCCGAGACACGCGGTCCTCCGGAGAAGCTGGAAATCGCGCCGCAGCTTTTCAGTGCACCACGCCCGTCTCGGTCGGAAGATTGGCATTGTTACCCCGAAGTGGAAACAGCCGAAAGCTGGAGGAGAGGTTGCATTTGCGGGCACGAGCGCACGCGCGGGCTCGCAACGCGTCTGAAAGAAAAACGCTGGGTGGTAGCTCTGTTCCCAAAGACTCTTGGTCGGCGCTTTCTGAACCCGGCTTCAGACACGGTCGTGGGAAGGAAGGGGTTAGTTCCCGGCTTCTCTCCCCCCTCCCCTCTCCCCCCTCCCCGAGAAAAATCTGACACAAGGATAAACAGATTGCCTCCCACCCGCCCGCCCGCCCGCCAGCCACGGTTTGTGAGACTTTCTGAAGAAAGGGGAGGTGGGGTGGAGGGAGGGAGGGAAGGAAGAAATCTGGGAAAGAAAGGAAGGGGAACCGTCCGCCGACATGTGAGCGGCTGGGTGGGTGTCGCGTCACACTAGCCTGGCACTCTCCCTCTCCCAACAGCCTCCAACCCCGGGCTCTGCCGGCGGGCCCAAAAGGTCCACGTAACCGCCCTTCCCAGCCGGCACCCCGGGACCGGCACATCCTGCAGGAGGCGGCCACTTGGTGTCCCGGGGTGAACCGCAGAGCTGCTCTTGCCAGCTTGCCAAGGGCGGGAGGAGGAGGAGGAGAGGAGGGAACCCATCTGCGTGCCCGCCCGTCGGACAAGGAGGAAGCCTCGCGGCGTCAGCCACAACTACTCTACAGCCCAGAGCAGCCTGGGCGGGCAGCGCGGACTACCCCGCGAGGGAGACCTTCGGGGCAGAGGCTACGGGAACGCCCCTTCGGCAGCAACGACGCGCCGGGCCCCACGGAAGAGGGGATGGAGGGCCCCGCGCAGACCGCCTAGCCGGGTGAGTGCCCGGGGCTGCCCTGCGGGGATGGGCGGGGGCTTCAGCGGGGGATGCTGCTCTCCACGCGGCGGCCCGGAGGCTGGGGCGGGAGGGGCTGCCATCTGGTCCTTTCCTCCTGCCAAGCGGCGAAGGTTTAGGCGGGGCGGCGGCTGCGAAAGGCGGTGACTCAGCCGAAGGTCCGGGCGGCGGTGCTGGAAGTGGCTGCCGGCAGAGAAGGCGCCCCTGTTCAGCCGGGCTGCCGGAGGCCGAGGCCAAGCTTGGTGCGGAGCAGCGGCTCGGCAAGCCGGCCTGCCAGTCCCTTCAGACTCGCTCCTTCGCTTCCGCCCGGCGCTCCCCGCCTGGATCCTCACTCCGAGGAGGAGTTGCGCTCCCGCTCCCCTCGTGCTCAGCCAGCATGGCAAACTGGGGGATACCGTGCGAGGTGTCTTTATCAGTCTCCTTTATACTTCGGCCAGGACTCAAGGCTGCGGAGAAACATGCAGGCGCTTCTAACAAGAGGGCTCCTCCCAGCCTTTTTTATTCTTGCCCTTGGATTGCTGAGAGGGAGTCGTATTTTTCCCAGGGGTGACCCAGCCCAGAGAAAGTGCTCTGATTTAGAAACGGGCCGGTATTCTTCCACATCATATACACTCCCCTCATCTCATGCCCCGGATAGTGTGGGAGAGTCACTGGCTTTCAAAAGCTCCCCTTAGAGTAGGCTTGGTTATCATTATGCGTTTCTCTCCAGTGCTTACAAAAGGGGAGTGGGTTGTTTAAATCAGCCAGACTAGGGAAGAAAAATGCTTTCCTCGAAGCTGCTTAATATCTAGAATTGCGGCAGTTAGAAGTGTCATCAAGGTTCAGTCGTTAGGAAGCTGAACTGTTAGGCAGGCCAGTATTTTTGAGGGGAATGCTTTTTTTTCAACCCTCCTTCTTTGCACTGAATCCTCTACCAATGTAATTCCTTTCTCCATTGTTGCTGTTGCCCACTGAAGTCTCTGGCTGAGCAAAGAGGAGGCGGAGGAAGAGCGTTGTAACTCTTAGGATGACATTTGAAATTATTCCTTTATTTTTCTAAGCAAAAAATATTGATTCAAGAGTTATAAATACTAAATCATAATTTGGTGGGAACACATAACATCTTGGGTCCTTTCCCAGAAAAAGCCAAGCAGAATCCTTTTTTCCTTAGACATGAACACATTTGTCTTCTGTAGCTGATTTCATTATATGCCAAACATCTCTGGAGGTTTTTCTGTCTCAGGGAACAGTGGTCCAGTGCGCCCCCCCCTCCCGTCTAGAACACAAGGGCAGAGAGAAGGGCTTACTTAGCACACAGCCTCCTTTTTCTCAATATCCAAACTTAAGTCTTCAGTGTACTTGAAAGGTTGCTGAGAGCTTCTGAGCATGACACAAGGGCTAAGTCATTTCTGGTCAGTGTGTGCCAGGAAATGGATCAAACTGATTCACAAGAACTAAAAGGATGGTTGGGGGAAGGGAAGAAGGTATGTGATCATCAAAAGGCCTTCCAGTCTTGGAGGAAGCTGATAAATTCTAAGGATCAAGCTTAGTGAACAATGAGCAGAATTCCTCTGTTTGGAAAATCAAATGCCCTTTTGTTTTTCTTTTGCTGCAGTGTGTGTGTCCAGGGCACTTTATTGCTAGTTTGTTCTGAACTCTGTTGCTCTACCAAACGTATTTGGTGTTTGTTGTTATGTACATAACAGGCACATGCCAGGCTTATGATAAAAGACGCTTTGCCAACAGACTGAACAAGAGGCAGCCCAGATGCATAGCAGGCGCAGACAAAGAGAAGTAAAACAGCAGGGAGAAGACAACAGTGTGTGTCAAAGGTCCTCCCATAGAAATAAATAAATAGGGCGTTTAAGAGGAAGTTGGCATACATTTTGATAACCCCACCTGCCAGACCAAAGACCAGATGCTCAATCTTTTATGATCCTTACAAATGGCTAGAGGACTTTGATTTGTGATGATTGAAAAGTCCCTTCTAATTTTTACAAGGCTGCTAACATTTGTTCTTTAGACTGAGTTTGGAACACTCCAAGGTGACTGCAAAGTCTATTTTTTTTTGTAAGGGGTCCCATAAATCTGGGAGAAGGTAGAGTATCGTTTTCTGGGTTACGGGAAGAGGAAAAAAAATCTGTCAGGATGAAACTGTGAAGTACATCAGATGCAGCACACAATAGCCTTGTTTAAGGAGGGGGAAGCCAAAAGTGGCCACAGTTTGCCACAGTCCTCTTCAATATGCTCTTCATTTTCTTTTTCTCTCTCTCCTCACATGACACTGTTCTTGCATCCCCTGCCCCTTCTCTCTTACTCATTAGCAACCATTACCAATGCTTACACTGTAGAGCAGGGGTGTCAAACTCGCAATGTCACGTGATGTGTTGCACCTTTTTTTGCCATTGCCGGCAATGGGGTGGGCGTAGTTTCACTATGATGCATCTGGTCCGCGGGGCCGGCAGTTTGACACCCCTGCTGTAGAGGGATATGAGAATAACCTTGGGAGACAAGAGGAAGAGCCATAGACACAGATAAAAGAAATCTGAGTCTGAAGGAGGGACGAGGTGGATACTTTTCTTTCTCTCTTGTCTTCAGTTTTCAAAAGAGATTGCTTGCCTTTCTGGTGAAGTCTGTCAAGCAGGGAAGGAGGAAGGAAGTAGTAGCAGGGTATCATCTCTGCCATATGCTCTTTCAGGAAGGAAAAAAGAGATGTCTCTGGTCACAAATGCAAGAGTCCTCCAGGATACAGGGATTTGGAGCTTTGCCAAGTAATTTGGCCATAGAGGCATCATCCAAGTTAACCTCCACCAACTCTGTCTCCACCTGCCTTCAGCACAGTGCAGTCATGGACTAACAAACCCTTGTCATTTATATCAGCTCCCCTCTTTCTCAGATTGTGTGGTTCCATTTTTTGGGTGCTTATTTTTGTCATCATTATTATTCATTTTTGTCTTTTACTGTGTATTTTAAATGTTTTGATTTGTGAACTGTCTAGACTTATTGGGAGAGGCAGCATATAAATTTTAAAAAGTAGATTTTCCTTATTTCATTCTCAGCTCCATTAACTTTAAATATTCATGGGCTATTATAAATATAAAAACATTTTCCCCCTTTCTCACTGCCCAGCAGCAGCTTAAATGCTTGTGAAATCTGCTATCCTTTGCTTTGGGAACTAAATCAGCAGACCTGTAGGGAGTGCAATTTGACACAGTTTGGGGAGGTGTGTGGAAGTCCCGTCCCTTCTGGTGGTAACTAACATTAATCAAAGCTATTTCTTTCTCAGCCTTTGTCCTTTTCATTAGCACACTGTTTCATGACTTCCTTTCATCCAACTCTCTTCTCCAGTTTCTGTTTTGACACCAACTTCTCTCTCCAATTTCCCAAACTTACAGGAGAAAACAGACCACTGCTATTTTATTTGGGGGGAAAAAATTGCTGATTTGTTTTAGAATTGTTTAGAAATGCCAGCTGAATGACTAGCCACTTTTCCTATATTTGTCAATTCCAACTGCTTCCCTTTCCATTCCCCTTGAATACTGGTTGACCATCAGGTAGTCAGGTTCAGTCCTCCCATTCTAGAGGACCTAACAGATAGGGTAAGGTCTACTTCTCTCCTCTTCAGAGTTATTTCTGCCATGGTATCTTCCCATATTTCTTTATTTCATGTTATTTCAGCCTGAGAGACGCCCAAAAGTTTGGGAAGAATTGGCAAATGAGCCAGCCTAGGGAAGATAATAAAAAACTAGAGGAGACCCACCTCATTTCTAATGAAGTGTTTAAAATAATATTTGCTTTTTTAGCTGATGACATGCTGAAAAGGGATCTAAAGCAAAGTCAGAAGATACACTCAGTCACCATCTCTGTAATGGATTGGCACACTCACAAATCAAGACATCTTTTGGCAGTAACTCAAAACTGACATAATAGAAGCAACACAGAGACTGAGTCACTTTAAGCTGATTCCAGGATGCGTGGAGAACATTGATTCAATAATAGAGAAAGACCCCTTCCCCATAGATTGCACAATGCTTCAGGGTATGCAATCCATGGGACTCAATTAGATGTAAATTTTCATAAAATATTAAATATGCTCTTTTGGGATTTCTCTGCATGTATATGGTAAACATGATATGGAACCAGGGCAGGAATAGGAGTAGATTCATATAGAAAAGCATTTTAAAGCTTCCCTCCATCCAATGCTTGCCATCCCATAGTCTATTGTGAACAGCAGACAGCAGAACAGAGGTTTTATAGATATGAGAAAAACAGAAAACAGAGTGGGATAATTATAACCTGAAAGCCGAGTACTTTTAAATGTGTGTGAGGAAATGCCCTTACACAAATCACTACTCAAAAAACACTCCTGGCAGTAGCTTTAAATGGAATGAAAAGTTCTACTTCTTGGCAAGATCGTTTTTAGGCAGGACATCTATGATATCTGTAGAATCCTTGTGGAAACTTTCTTCCTGGTCCTAAAGCCCTGTATAGAAAACAGCTGAGCCTTGTGTAAATCTGATTGGGTTTACATAGTACGCTCTAATATCTTAGGAGAAGGAGATTGTGGAAACCTCTAATCTTTGGCAAAATTGCTGCTCTGCAAATTGCTTCTCCTATGATGGGTTTAATAATGGAACTGGCTGGTATCAAGTGGGACGTGTTATGGAACTCCCAACTCCAATGACTCAGATGAAGTCATGGCTGGCATAGATGCTACAGGAGCTTTTTTCCAGTCAAAGGAGGGAGATGCAAAACTTGCCAGTTCAGCTCAAAGAAAAGAGTAGCTCTTTGCAGTACACTTGCATCTACTATCGATTATGCAGCAGGGAAGTTCAAAAGCTAAGCAAGATGATTTGGCTCACCTACACATCATGGAAAAAGGTTTCTCTTTCAAGTTGGCAGGAGTCAGGAATAGATTCCTGGAAGAGGATCCTGAAAAAAAACCTTAATATGTTCCACAGATGATGGTTATTATTGGACTAGAGCAGCATACTTTCAGTTTT